TCTCCGCATCAAGTAAACAGAGGTTATTACAGAAAGTAGCAAGTTATCATATAGTAACATAGAGTTGAATGTTTTTCTAACTTCAAATTGCTTATTAATTGGCGAATCGTCTGTGTATTTGACATGTTTGCCAGTTACCTAGGCAGCCTGGCCCCAAGACGATATGATTAATTATTTCGCATGACCTTTTGGCGTAACCACCACAAACCGGGAAAAGAACTGAACTCTATTCAGTTCTGTATAAATGTAGCGTTTTTTAAACATCTTATGTCAGTAAGACAATAGCGCACCGGTAATGCAGAGTTACCTATGTCGCGCCATCTATGGGCCAACCACCAAGTCACGGACGGCTCGCTCATAAAGAGCTCTTTTTTTGTAAATCAGTAATATGACAAAAGCCAAGCGCAGACTTTTGGTTAGTTATGCTGAAAACTAGTCAATCTAATCAATTTTGATGTTTAGCGTGAACATATGTAAGATTTGACTAGTTTTTAGCCTTTGTAACCAAGATTTGGGATCGGTTCACAGACCAAACACAACGTCACTGAAGCCAGCCCGCGGATTCCATGAAGTGCCTGTTCTTGATATAACTAACGACTTTTTGATTATGCTATGAAATAATAACGAACGTAAGAAACAAATCAAAAATTTGTACCAACAGTAGGGTTCGACCGAAACTTCGATATCATCTTCGGCCACATTCGGTGACAAAACATGCCTTCCGTCAGTCCCTACTCTTCATTAGGTAGCCATCATCAAGCCAGTGTTGTCACATATACTATGATGACCGGTTGAGTAATGCTGGTGTTGACATACTGCATAATCTTAGATGGGTTATTTTTTACCCACCAGTACTTATTCAATATATGGCGTAATGGCGTAAAGTAGGTTGACTCTGCACTTCCTACGCAACTCCGTTAACAGTTCAAAAATGATTATGATCAGCGCACACCAGACCCTCTGAGAAAAAAAGTCAGTCAAAAAGGTCCATAGAATTAGTCCAAAGACAGCCTTTCGTTGCCCTACTGGTAGTGTATCTGGAAACGTTGCCTCCCCCGAATACTTCGGTTCGGTCAGACCTGTCAGCGCGGTTAGAGCATATGGCGCAGCAGAAATACGTGTAATATGAAATGATTTTCAAAAACTGTAAAACTTTTGCGTCCTTGGTGTAGTATTAACATTGGGTAAAAGATTCATCGAAATCCGAGCAGTACTTCGCAAGTTATAGGCAGTTATAAGACTAGTGGACAGACCGACAGATTCCATCCGAGTTTTTTAGACTTGACTAAATGTTTTTTAAATATATCAGAAACCATAGCAAAATTGTGGCAAGTAAGGAGTCAGCATACTGGACCATTTTTACTTTCCAAACTATCCATAGCACATTTTGCGAATGAAGAAAAGGAATACGATTACTCTCCAAATTCGATATGAAGCAGTTTATGAAGATGATAGTGGCCCGCTAGTGACCTGAACATTGTCAATTTGGAATAACTGATAAAACATTGGCCAAAACCTTGTGTTTATATGATCCATTGCTACTGTAATTAGGGGCCAACCGAACCTTCGGTTTTGGACATATATGGTCAAAAATACACTTTGGGGCACATATTCCCCAATTCGCCCTCTAGTTGACCAGAGATCATATAAAACAATAACTCTAATTAGAGCAGAACAATATTCAACCCTGTGCTAATAATAAAAATAACGAAAAAACAAAATATGTAACTAATAATTTAAGTCAAGTTAAACAAGGCTATCCGAGAGTACATCATCGCAAAATATAATCTTTCTGTAATAATCTAAAGAAGCTTTTCTTTCACATGCCAAATCCTAGGAGGCACTCAGCTGATCAACATCTAAATGAGGAGCTTCTAAGCAGTAAATTCAAAATTTGAAGTACGCGAGAAAATTGTCAAAGATTTAATTAATTATATAACTTTTACAACAACAGTTTAAGAGAAAATACAAACATTATTAAATGATGAAAACTATAAGCGCGGGAAATATGAGTCAGTTGACATCATATATGCACAGCAGATAGCCACAACACAACTGGTCACGTGCCGCCCCTTCATTGCTCAGTCAAACCTTTGGAATTGCTTCAAAAGGAGACATTTATTACCGATGGCCGTAAAACCCATTAGAAAAGAAATCCATTAATGTACCTGGTACCTCCAAAAATATTTTCTCGAGAGTTTCTAGTTATATTTTAATATCAGTAGTACGCCCTTTCATTCTGCTCCACACTGTATAACCAGTGTTCAAGGATAAAGTGATTATAGCTACCCATACAGGCCGCACTTGAGCGGCGTTGTGCAACTTGGCTGGTTTCAGTCAAGTTAAGCCCACACAAAGTCATTAGGGAATGGCGGCGGCGCAATTAAAGAAAAACACGTAAGGCGTAATGAGGAATCAAAATAATAAATCTCTATAGTGCAATAACCAACACAATTTCCTGAATGACATAAAGAGAATGGATATAAATGCAAGTATTGAGCAGTTAGAGGTTACATTAAATCATCACGGGATATTAATCGGACCAGAAGCACTTCTCTTGTTGAAAAAATCAACTTTTGTTAGCTTGTATTACTGAAATACTTTTGGAAAATCAGGCGTCTACGAATTTAACTGTCTAATTGATGACCCATTTCCAAGATGTCTGTTCCAGGGGTTAAGACCATTGATCGCTGCATAAGCAGCATCACTTCCAGTGACTTAGTTGGAAGATGTCACTATCACACATAATGTACCCACTATTGGCGATGAGTGACTGTTGCGAACGCCAGCTATAAATGATTGCCGCAACGGCCGTTTTATTACCTAAACCAGTGGTCGCCAACCTTTTCAGTGTGTTGAGTTACTTTGATAATTTTGGAATAAACAGTGGGGTACCTAGTCGTAAGCAATGTAAGCCAACTTAAATGAAATTATACACAGTTGTATGCGACATACATGTGTTTATTTTACTAATACATACTAATAAACTTAGATAAACTAATAACTAATACATACTACATAACCACATCCATTCCTACCAATCGTAGGTGTTTGAAAAATACACCAGCTACAATGGCATGTCACATACGATTTAATAAAGGTAACTAGAAATAAAAAAAAGCAACGCACTATTTTAAACAAACACATGACCAGATAAAAAAATGCGTGTTCAATGAGACGCCTGACACTCAGTCTCGCTGACAATTGGACCGCGTTATGCATAACTTGACCAAGCGCCATTTGATAAATTTCCGCATTTTGCTGCCATATGATGCACTGTAGTTCAACTTACATATAAAAAATGCAGGCATTATAGAGACCTGAGGTTCAAAAGCAAAAACATTTTTTACTAAGCGCCTAACGTAATATTTGTTATTTATTTTGCAACAGATGACCATTTGCACTACCAAAGTTTTGCATAAAGTGACCAATATTGAGAAAAGACCATCGAATGCTTCGATTCAAGCGTTGCTTCGTAAACCCCTCGAAAAACTGTGGCCAAATGGGAAACCTATAGCAGAAAAGAAGCTAGACGATCGAAAATCATTACTAAGTTTTATACCCAAGGATTACAAGAAGTTCTATAGGAATCTAGCTGGCGATTCAAGTATTGAGGAAGATGTAGATGGGTTCAATGGTTAACCAGATTTCGAGCTTGAGGATGAATAATACAAATTTTCGATTCAGGTTCTTGATTCATTGCGAAAATGTGTGGTTACTTCTTGCTTCATTTTATTTTTGAATCAGTATATAATTGAGTTTATTATAACATTTGTTATTCAAGCAACTTCTTATTTGGTTTCGGGAATGTTTTAATTTGTGTAGTTTTAATTTTTCAATGAATTTGATGCTAATTACTAAAATACAAAAATAAAGAATCTTTCTGCTATGCGTTCCTTATTTTGCATAGCATGACCAAGTAACATTTTTGTGTTGACAAATGAGCATTCATTTTGAATGCAATATTTGACCAAGCGCCATTTCATTTCATTAAGTTTCAGGTATAAGAGTTTTTGAAAAAATGATTGCATACATAAATTTGTAATAACATTTTCTATTCACAGAACAAAAAAAAAACATTCACCAAAATCGTAGCATTGATTTTTAATGAATTGTTAAAGTTCCTTCTGAAAAACAGAGATTTGTCGCTTGGTCAAGTCATGCATAACGCGGTCCAATTTTTCTAATGTTTTACCGTTTGATAAACTTCATATTTGAAAAAGAAGAGTTTCGTACAAATAGGTTGAAGTAAATAAAGCTTTAACTTTCAAGACAACGCGACATAAAACTGAATATTTATCTTTACTTACGGGGACATCGGTTGGCCGGGTGGGTCAGAGTGTCGTGCTACTGATCAGTTTCAAATTTTTAATTTTTTAGTACAGGTTTTGAGTATATTTCCTGTAAATACACTTCTCAACCAAACCCCGGACAAAATCTATGAATATTGAATTTTTTGGACTTTCCTTTGTTCTATTTTGTTTTGTAAGTGTCATTTTATTATTTGGATGTGACAAGAATAATATAACCACATGCACATATATATATATATATATATATATATAATTATAAAATTATTTAGCTTAACACCAAGCATCTCTGTGGGTCAAATCGAGTGTGTACCCGATTCCACAGAGAATATTACTATGTTAGCATTAAGCCTAACCCTCGTAGTGTATATATAATTTAAGTGCATATTACTGTATGTAATCTTGAAAAATAAATATAAATTGTTGCTACTGATCAGCCGGCCTGCCGGGCCGCGAGTTCGAATCTCGCCTTCGAAAATCACATTCCGAAGCCCTGGATGTTGTGGCGTCGTGTGTTTGTTCTAAAAAGATTTACATATATATATATATATATATATATACATTCTCGTGGCCGAATAGGCTAGAACGCGTAAGGCCATTTAAAAAAAATCTTTACTTAGGCCAGAATCATTTTGTATTTGAGACTAATGATTTTAAAGCTAAATCATTGTGAAACGCAATCACTTCCATTTATGTCGGAGCGATGTCTCCGCCAAAATGATGCGTTACAGAAGTTGCAAACTGTTGGATATCAATTCCCATGAAGGGTGAAACAACAAATTGCGCCATTGTAGCAATTTCGTTGAAATCCTTGAAAAGATTTTTGAAGTTATCCTCCAAGTTAGAGACTATTTCTACATGATATTTACTGTCATATGGTTCTAATGGACTTTGAGATATCTTTTCTGAAAGCACAGGAAAATGCCTGGTATCGCCATCGATTTTTTCCCAAAACTCAAGCTTTTTGAGAAACGCTTTTATATCGGAAGTCATTTCTTCTAGTTCTTTGTCTCTCGCGTGAAGCTGCAAATTAAGTTCATTTAATTGTTCTGTAATATCCAAAAGAAAGCCAAAATCTCTAAGCCAGATCGAATTTTCCAGTTCCGGAATCGGTTCATCTCGTTGTTTGAGAAATCGAACTATGGCAGATATCATATCATTAAGACGTTTCAGCACTCCTCCCCTACTTAACCATCGGACTTCAGAGTAAAGAAGTAGTTCCCCGTATTGACAGTCTTTCATTCATCAAGGTTTTGAATAATCTTCTTTGTAACGCTTGAGCTCTAATGGTGCTCACAATTTTTACTACCAATTTCATAACGTTGTGTTGTTTAGTTTTAAAAAATGTCCACATAATTTGGTAACTGGTAACAGAAATTGCGGAAAACTTTAATCTTTACGACTTAACCCCACGAGACACATATCGTCCCACCATAGCTGGAGCGGAATAAACTTCAACAGATCTTCTTTAATCGTGAAATAACTAAAAACCATCCTGACGAAAACGGCCATCTAAGAGGTGTCAACGACATCTGTGAATTCATCGAGCTGCAGTGAAAAATAAGCACAGTTAACGAAGTCATTTCTTAACTGTAAAACTATATCATTGCTCATTACTTCTACTCGCCTCATCACTGTATTAGTAGAAAGTTGCAGCGGTCTTATAGTAGACACTATCTCGTCTTTATTTCTAAAGTTGGCAAATAATAAAAACGCCTGTTCTATCATTTCCCGTCTTCATAAGTTTTAAACTGAGCACACTGTCGCCGCGGCTTGCGTATTTGTTCCGTTCAAAGTAATCGAGATCGTTCTAGAACAGATCGCTCACCGCAGTGTTGCCGGTGCTTGTGTTTATCATGAGAATTTACAAAATTTACGGAAGATTCGTGTTACACCTTTTTAAAATATGACCTAAGCTAACAATATTCCGCCAGCATGATTTGTGGAATGCAAGCTAGTGCGATTATAGTTTTCATCACTACTCAGCATAGATCAGAGACGCCGTGAAGATAAGCGGTAATATGAGTATGAGCGTATTCAGTTTTTATGATGTTTTGCGAGTGCCTCCTTTAGAGCAGTGTTGTAAAATGTAACCTAGCACTCCGCAAAAAAATCAAAAAGAAGACACCGGCATCGCAGACGCAATAGTAGTAGGCAACTCTTAATCACTGTTCTCACCTAAAAGCAACCCAACATGATTTTGTTTCGTTTTCAGGTTGTAAATAAGTTGCTAAGTATTTATTAGTGTGAAACTCCCAATATAGTATATGTAATAAATATTATATGGTGCAACTAATGATCTGTGGAAATCACAACATTATTCGCAAACATATTTCCTGTTGCTTTCTAGATATTATGTTTTCTGAGTGTTAAATCAAAAATAAATATAATAACCGCTCAAATTATGTTGAAGTTTCAAGGGCTCTTGATCATTTTCGAATAATTTTATCTAGGGGCTGAAAATGGGGGGTAGGGGAGGATAGTCCGGCATTAGTATGTCTATACGCTTCCAGTCTCGGTATTCCTTCGCTCCTATTAGTACATAGTTCAAAAATCACAGTACATTTGCTCTTAAATAAACTCGTCCTATGTCGGTCCTAGTCGTTTATGCATCAAGCCCTGTCTGCACCTGACTGCATGGCTGGTGCTCTCGATCTCGAGTTATATTATCAAGGCTGGCGCTTATGACATGATTGTCTGATGTGATTCAGCACGGTTGCCGGATGGTTGATACTTTAGGTAGAGCAGGGAGGAAATGTTCAGCGTTATTAAATGGATGGGGAATATGGACTAATTGTATCGACCGTTTGGCTGACATAATTCAAGTATTTTTTTGTTACATAGATAAATTTTTCCTCACAGGGACTAACTTGTGCCGAACATAATCCTTTATAAACTATGATGACAGCGTTGCGTGGGAAGTGTAGAGTCAACCTACTTGACGTCATTGTTTGAAGATACGATCGGACCGATAGCTGAAGTGTCACAATCATATCCACAAGTTGAAATCGGGTTGAACACAAGTTGATTTTGGTGAGAACAGTGACTTACACAGCTGGTGCAAGGAACAAATAAACGAAAGCAACTTTACATACGCCAATGTGTATGTATATGTGTACTTGACTGAGCAGTTCTGTATCTTGGATGCCCTGTAAAGAATAAAAGGTACTAGACATCAGTAAAAGGAAAGATGCAATTAAAAAAACACCTGCATAAGTAACTGTAACAATAATAATTGTTAACGTTGAATGCAATGCAACAAATTGCATAACATTACGACGATATAATTGACCAATTCAAAACAATGGATGGTGTGTGTTCAACTGTTCACCCGGACAGGCAGACGTGGTGCTCGAAATAATTGACCAGGAGGAAATTCTAAAGTAGAGTCATCCGTTTTACTCACACTTGGCATGGATGAATAAAATGCATAGAGAATTAATTTGAAGTCATCCTTACGTGATGGAAACCGTGTATGTTCCATCTCCATTGATATGGAAGGTAATTGAAAAATTATATTGACTATTTCTCACGCAGTGACATACAGGGTGTTAATAAAATATGTAGACAAACTTTATCCATCGAATCCTTGATCAATTTGAAGACTAAATGTTCATACGAACATGGGTCCGTAACGGCTTACTTTTCGAGCCGATCACTAAAGAAATACGAGTAATTTTCCAAATATTTCTATGAATAATGAAACGTATTTATTGAACAGTTGGTATAACCTATGGTAAATTTTGCACGTTTTACCAGTTGCTGAGGCTGAATATGAACGTGGATGAAAATAGTATTATCCTGTATTTTAGAAAAAAAAATATTTAGAATATATCAATAGTTTTGAACGGTAACATTCGAATAGAACGGCAATAATAGAAAATATCGAATAGTTTTTTTTACAATAAATGTTCAAAGTGGCCTCCTTCGACTTCAATACAAGCGTCTAGTCTGTTACACATTGACTGACGAACTTTCCTGAAAATACCCGGAGTATTTTGTGTAGTCAGATATGACTAATATTAAAAGTATTGCGATCAAAACACAGGGTGACATTTAGGTTTAGTAAGTGCCATTGATGATAAGTGAAATGTGAGAATTATCTGGTTTCAATTAAAAGTCCCTAAAAATTGGCAACACATCGAAAAACGATGTTTGGGATTATTAAAAAATAATGACTCCTTCAAAGCAACGTTTGGAATACGTTCAAAAATCATCAGAAACACTATAAAAGCTGAAAGATTATTGCGGTACTATCCGAATTATAGAGTGGCCAAGTATTACACGACAGACGATAGACAAACAGACCGATGAAAATGAGTAACTTCATGCCATTATTCTTTTAAAAGGATGTATAGCGATTTATTATATTAAACTACCTTGGCGAATTTGAGCTATTTCCAAAATATTACAATCTATACTTTTCAAGTTATTTTGAAACCAAAGAAACGGAACCACTTCCACCTGGGCCTTTAATATGCATAAATGAAATAAGAGACAACAGTTTGCCTGTAAATTCTAATTATGATATACTTTAGAGTTTAGAGGCTCATTGGTAAAGTCGCTCAGTGCCTGACCCATTCCTGGTTTGTTTTTTGCATAACCTTATTCAAAAAAGGGATCATTTAAAGAATAGAGGCCCAACATTGCGTCATAAGTTGTCTCGGGGTCACAAATGGTACATTAGCAGGTACATTTTGCATTTTCACAAAAATTAAATTACTTATATTTCGATAACTATCAAATGTAGAGGAAAGTTCATAAGAATCTGTTTTGTTCAGAATGATGCAAAAAACCTAAAACAATTGTTTGGATCACAAAAACTAATCTGTCGAATTTGTGTTAAATTGTCTCATCAGGTTTTGAGATGATTTTGAACATGCAGATCCATGTAAGTGGATTGCGATTATACAGAAAAATAAAATATATCAAAATAGTTTTTCGCCAAGATGAGCAGATACTTTCTGGACTATCAAGCAACTGCGAACAGCCTGATGATCACTCAAACCAGGCCCGAATTACTAGTAATATTTTAGCATCACATTTCTAACGGTTTCAAATCCGATAGTGAACTCCTTCAATGCGCATACGTTGTTAAAGGACTGGATTCAAACGGTTTCAAATTTAATTCTGCTAAAACATATTTTTCGGTCAAAATGCGCTTGAGTTGACAGAGACAGCATCGTACTTGATATCTAGATGAAACTGTACGTTTCTTTCCTCATTGTTAGGCCAGTGAATTACAGATCCAGATATACTGCTTCAGAACATTATTAAACGTCTTATTTTGTAGAATAAAGAACTAATCGTAATATGAAATCTATCTGCTACATCACGAAACGATGTTTCATGTCCCGGGAACCACAGAAAGATGTTTCTCAATGCCTCCAGTCGCCTGTTTGAAGAACATCTGTGTTCGAATTTAGTTGAGATATCTTCAGCCACTTTGCCAGTCACTTTGAAATGTTCCATGAATCCACTTCCATTGTGAAAAAGTACCGCTACATTTTCGTAATGGTTATTTTATGAGACAATATGTGCAGAATATGTTTCCATCATTACTCGGATCGATATCTAGCTTCAATATTTTAAATTGATACAAACTAAGTTGCAACAAAACTAAGCAAGACGCAAACTTCCCAACAGAATTCGAAAACCATAACCCCAAATCATAAGGCACCCATAACAAGACAAGATCTTGTACGATCTGCGCATGTCAAAAATCACCAGAATCCCGCCAAAATCCTGTGTACTGTTTTGACCAGTTTTCGAACCAATAATTGGATTGCTGAAACAACGGACCCATAATCACCAACTAGGTGTTACGCTTGCTTGAACACGTTTTCTCCACTGCGCATGCTCAGTCGGTTTCAAACCGTTGAACTACCAAGCCCCAATATTGGTCATATCACCTTGTTTTGTCGTATATGTACGAGTATTTCAATTCATCACTGCGGCAACCGCACAAAATGATGCCGAAATTTCCAGTGACGCATTCCGTATCGTGACGTTCCATGAAAGGAGAGAATGGAGGTAGGGAAGAAAGAAAAAACCGTCGAGACGGGAGCTTTACCAGCTAGACGAATAAATTACCCCAAACGGGGTGTGATCCAAAGCGTTCGTTGACACGTTGACTAAAGTTGTGATTTTTTAAATGGAATGCCTCAAATTTTATTGCATATTTGGATAAGTCAATCCAAAAGAAGAAGATTGATATAACATACTATGGGGTTTTGGTAATT